GTAGCGCATGCAGCTCCCAAAGACACCTGGCTCTGACCTGTGAGCAAAGGAAGACTGCAACAGACTCCCAGAACTGGGATCTAGTCTGTGAAACGGGGGTTGGAAAGAATATGGGGAGCAGCCACTACCCCAGAGACACCAGCGCTGTCATACGCCAGACCACTTAATCTACTTGGTGAGAGTTTTCTCCACCAGCAAAATTGGAACTTGGTGCTCCAAGATGAGCACTGCAACTGGTGGCTCACTGGTTGTGCAGGGCTGGGCCCTTGGGCAGTTTTCTTTGGCCAGCTCAGTTTGTTGAAAGGTTATGGCCCAGGATTTTACTCCTGGCTCTGTTTGTGACTAGCAGGCTAGCAGGCTTTGGAGGCTGTGACCCTGTTCCGTAAGGCTGAATATTGATACACACTCGTTCTTATAAATGCCTCCCCAACTGCCAGCGTCAGCCTGTTTAGTTTCCCACAAGTGGGAACACCATCAAAGAGCTGGTTGTTCAGTCCCGGAAGCAAGAGGAAAACAGGAAACACAATAAATAAACACATATGAAGGGTGAGAAGACCGGTGTAGTATGGGCTGGTGTGGGTAAAGCAAAGTGGAAACATGGATGGAAAGAGCAGGGCTACAGTTGGAGCAGTATCTTCTGTGGTGTTTAAGGGTGAGCTACTTGGAACTGGGAGTTTATTTATCCAACTTCTGCTTGTGTCTGAATCAGCCCAGCTAGGAGAGCCATGAAGACAATCCCTGATACCCAGGAGTTCCCAGCCCAATGTGTAAAGAGCCTGCTGCCATCAGGACGGGTTGTGATTACCAGAAAACAGAAATTTGGTGAAGTCAAATCAGTAAGGGCAGCAGGCAGGAACGGAGGGACAATACTTACATAGCACAGGAAGTAGTTTCCGTAAAGCTTAGTCACACTGATCTTTCCATACTTTCAATATTCCAAGCTCAAAGCTACCCCAGGGCCTTCCCATTTGCTCTGAGTGCAGAGATTCCCTTTTGGGCTCTTGCATCTAAAAATTCGCCCCCATTCTCTAGCAGATCACTGACTTGGTTAATTAATTAATTAATTTCATCTTTCCTGGAATGGCAGTTGAGCTCTAGAAGAGCAGAAGCGTTGTCTACCCTATCTACTTTTGTGTCTCTGGCACCTGCAACTCAGTAAATATCCACTGGCACATACAACGAGTTAAAGATTGAGTAAATGTATAGCTGCTACATGGGCTTTTTAGAGAATTTTCACACACAGGGCCAGCAGCACAGGTATCCTGTGGAGAGGATACAGAGGAGAGGATGAGACGCCCAGAGGGTTATAGGTTCAACTTGATCTCTTGGGGACTGATGGCAGGAAACAGGAGATTAGGCAAAGGGTAGACCTGAGGTTTCAGGATGAGAACTGGAGACTATAAGTTCCCTGTCATCAAGGGTGATCATCTCTTGTCCTCTGTAACAAGTCTATGAGGAAGGAACATGCATAATACAAGGCTCAAGAAACCTGTCTGATGTCCCACATGTGGGAAGTGTCAAAGCTGAAAGGGGAACCCAGGTCTCCTGGTCCCCATTTTCTGGTCTCTCCACCTATGATGGATAAAGACACCTAAATCCCTCTAGCTGACCTGGCATGTTCTCCTCTGCTCCATGCCTGTCCAGCTGGTCTTCAAGTCCCGATATTCTCATCCCTGAATGCCTATGAAGCCCTGCCAATCCTCCTGCAGCCCCAGAGGATTGCCAGCACCCCTTCCTGCTCACTCTATTTCTCCTGCCTTTCTAGCCATACAATCATGGCCAGCTGCCAGAGAAATTCTTGAAACGCAAGTCCAGCACCTCAGCTGAAATCCCAATGAGACATACCAGTATGAATGAATGAACCATAGATTTAGAATAATCTAATTGTCTCCTTTCCACCACTTGGAACCTATCTGCCCACTTTTCTACAATGAGCATTTGATACTTGGGCAATCAGAAAAAGATAACTCACAGTTTCAGAAGATCCTCCTGGCTCTCCAAGATTAACAGCATAAGCAGCATCAGCAATGCAAACAAAATTCTGCTTGTCCATTTAATCATACTTTTGGCCATTAATTCTGTCCTTGATTTCCTTAAGCCGTTCCCCTGCCTCCTTCGAAATATGCTTTCTAGGCCTGGAGAGATTGCTCAGTGGTTACAAGTACTTGCTGCTCTTAGAGGCGACCAGGATTCGGTTCCCAACCCCCACATGGCAGCTCACACTATCTGCAACTGCCATTCCCTCTTCCAGACTCCCCACATACCAGGTGTGTATATATGATGTTTAAACATACATGCAGGCAAAATACTCATACACAGAAAGTAAAAATGAATCTTCAAAATATATTTTCTTCTCTAGCAACATAGGTGATACTCAACTAATATTATGGTTTTATGCCCCGTTGAATGTTTAATATGCTCTTTACATCCCTTTGTCTATTGGGGGAATGCCTGTTCACCCTCCAAAACCTCCAAGACCACCTCCAATGTGAAACCTTCCCTGACAAGTGGTGCTCACAAGAGTTAGATCTCCATTTTATTGGGGTTTGTGCATTTGTCAGTACGGTTATTTGTGTAGCTTCCTCATCCAGGATGAGGATGCTGTCTGACATAACCTGCAACATAACTAGCACTGCAGAAAATTCATACCAACAGAAGTAGAAGAGAGGAGAGCTTGTTCCTTGGTTGGGATTAGTTTATGTTGGAGTCATCCAGAAGCCAAATTTGAAACAAAGGTCAAATATGTGATAGGGGGACTCCTGGGAACACTTTAGAGAGTTGAACAAGCAAGACAGGAAAGGATATGAGACCAAGAGAAGGTGGATTAATGAGTAGCTCATGGCATGGGCTACTGATGTCATCCTGCTGGGACCTCAGAGGCACAGGAAATGCTTTGGAGTTGTCCCCGCCAAGGAGAAAGCTAGGTTTACCCATGAAAACTGTTCTAAGTATTGACTTATGCAGTGCTTCCAGTCTGACCTGAGATTAGCATGTGTCTGCTGTCAGAGAAGGGTCTCAGTAGAGCCCTAGGTCCTGGCAACAGGGAGTATCAGGGCGGGGTCTGCACTGAGAACATAGTGAGTGACAAGGAGGATGGGCAGGACCCTGGAGGTGTCTGTGCAGAGGTGGAGAGAAGTATTTCCCTAACTATATAGACATTATCAGAAGGCTGATTAGCAAGTCCTCAGGGTTCCCCCTGTGGCTTCCAAGACATCTGGGGGACACAGCTGGCCTGAAGGAGAAGGCGTCTCCTTCATCTCCAGCCCAGTCTCCTTGCTCATAGTTCTAAGGGCCATTGGGGCCATGTGGCTTCTCAGTGCTCTATATCCTGCCCCACCAGTTGGCCTGAGGGCAAGTGGTGGGAAGGAGGCTGGAGTATTATCAGAGCTAACATGGTCTCTGGGGAGGCGTCACTTCCACTTACCATGGCATTTGGTGACACAGGCCATGGGATGCAAAGCCATAGCTGGTGCTGTTAGTCCATCTTTGGTCATCTCCCTGCAGACACCAGGCCTTGACAAACAGAGTTTGGGCTGGAGTGCATCTAAAATCCAAGAAGCTGAGGCCTGAGGGCTCTTTCACAGTCCCTTTACTTCCATAGGAACAATTAAGGCAAAAGAGAAAGAGATGTCTACTGTACATCACTCTCTCTCTCTCTCTCTCTCTCTCTCTCTCTCTCTCTCTCTCCCTTCCTTCCTCCCTCTCTTCCTCCCTCCTACCCTTCCTCCCTTCATCCTCTGCCTTTACCCCTTTCTCTTCCCACTCCTTTCCCTCTTTCTCCCTCCCCCATTTCTCCTCCCCTCTCTCTAGTAGGATATTAAATCTCTTTCATTGAAGCTGGTCTGTCCAGGGTTATTGGTCATTGGCCTAAGTTGTGTTGTAAATACAAATAGCATAACAAGTCCCCTCAATACAAAACACATAAGTTCAGATTTGTCTCCACCAGTGTACTTCTCACTAAACCCCTTGAGTTCAGTTCAGCTTCTATCTAGAAAGTTATGTCTCAGTTCTTGGTGTCTTCTCTGCCAGGTTATAAGCCCAGATGACCCCCACAGTCACTGGCATCTGAGAGTCACTGTCCCTTGTTGACCTCCACATTTACACCCTCTCCTGGACCTCTATTTTGGATACTAGCACTGTACTCTGGATTCAACTATAGTCTAGGTAGCTCTACCTGGAAAACCAGAGGCATGGAACTGCCATGAGCAAATCAGAGCCCCCTGGTGCCCCCTCCAT